AGCTTTAGGCTGAGACCTAATGCTGAAAGGTCTTGAGGGCGAGAGAGGCTATGGGGAAACTTCTTCCTTGGGAAATACCTGGAAGTTTACCCTCCCTGGCACTCTGAGCTGTCACAGGCGACAACTGACTTCCCTGGGATGGCGGTGAAGGGTCTCTCAAGGCAGGAAGGTGGGGGAGGGGAGGGCTTGGCTTTGAGGGGGGCGATGAAGACAACTTTTCAAAACAACAGGAAAGAGAGGCAAGGGTGGGTGGGGAGTGACAGCCCAGAATGCAGGCGGTGCTCTGCACTGGGACCCGCAACCTTGCTTGACCTGAGAGACCATGGCCTCCAGCATTGCTCTTTACCTTTGTCCCTCTGTGGAAAGCAGCAGAAAGGACAACGAACAATAAAGTCAAGTGGCCAGGGAGGAGAAGTCCCCAGAGTCCCTCTCAGAGATAACTTGAGAAAAGTCTCTGGATATGCAACACCCACTGGATGAGTCAGGCCCTCGACTCCCTGTCTCTCAGTCAGGCTAGCCTGGTCCCCAGGAGGGCTGAGCTCTGTAATGGATGGCACCAGCCACCTCTGGAGAAGGCACATATCTGCCCTGGACACTAACAGAGCCCTCTGACCAGCTCGCTACCAAAGATTACACGGCACCCTCCTCTCTTGCGCATGGCTTTGTGGCGGAAACAGATTCTGAGCTCAGGCCCAGGGCTCAGCTCAAACCTGTGGCTGACCGGTTCCAGCTGCTACACAAAGCACAGGAGGCCAGGGTGTGGTATTGGCTCCTCTGATTCCTCCATTTCTGCCTGAAAGTGAGGCCAGAGGCTGTGGACTGGGAGAGCAGGGGAGCCAAGAGCTTAGGGAAGGGTCACCTTTGAGAACTGCTACCAAAGCTCCTGAGTGACAGGATTCTCAAGTCACAGAAGCCCAGACCCCTGTCAGGTTGAGGTCCCAGCTATGCTCATGGTTAGGGAACAATTTCATTTCCAGCCCCAGGTGCTGCTGGGAAGCACCTGTGTTTTCACGTCACCCTGTGGGGTAGGGGAGCACCCTCACTCCCAGTGACCCCTGAGTGTGACTTGGGTGTCTCCAAACTCAGCGACACTCTTGGTGACAGAGCATCAATAGCTAAGGTGCAGGTTCCCCTTCACTTGGTCCTCAGGCCAAGCTTTCTGCCCTTTTTCTTTGCTGCAAGAGACATCTCCGGCTTGGCTGAGTTTTGTGTATACGTGTGCGTATGCGTGTGTGTTCCTGTATCACTAGCCAGCCCTAGGTCCACCATAGGACGGCTTCCAAGGTAATGGTCTCTCATGGCCGCCTCCCATGTACATATTCCAGACTCCCACAGTGTCATCCTGCCTGACTCATCCCTGGTTCCTTTTGCTTCTGCTTGCCTCTCTTGCTGATGGAGGTCACAGTTCTCTCTCTGTGCTCACCCTCCATCTTCCTCTGTCCCTGGGCTGGACTCTAATGGGATGCTCTTAGTCCCAGTGGTCTGATGCCTAACACTAGACTCCGATTTTGGTAAAATTAGGTTGAGTATTTCAAAGGATAAAGGCAAGCTGCTAAAAGAAAGACTGCAGCTGAGCCCCAGGCTGGCAACCCAGCTACCCAGGAGACTGAAGCAGGAAAATTACGAATTTGAGGCCAGCCTGGCCACCAAGTAAAATTGTTATCTCAAAAACAAAACAAGGCAATATAAATCAAAACAAAAATAAATCAATAAACCGATAAAGTTAAAGGCTCTAAGATGCTATTTTATACTTTGCCATTTATTTGCAGATATAAATGTTGCGATTATCTTTATTTTTATTGTTGAACTGACCTAATAATATTTTAGCACAGTGTAAGAGAAAATTGGGCTGTATCATGTACGCTAGAAGTATGGCCGTGAGCACCGGCTTAGTCAGTCCTGTTTGGAGGGTAGGAGGGCTGCATTCAGTTCCTAGAACCTATGTTAAAAAAAATACAGTGCTTAGTGTGGTGACGTGCACTGTAATCCCACAGCTGAGAAGGTGCATACGGCCGGATCCCGGGGGCCACTAGCCAGCCAGTCTAGATCACTTGATGTGCTCCAGGCTCTGAGGGACAGCACCTCAAGTTAACCTCTGCCCTCTCCAGGCACATGAACACACACGCATACATGCATGAACACAAGTGTATGCACAGACATACGTGCATACAAATACACACAGTGGGAGGGAGGGAGGGAGGGAGGGAGGGGGGGGGGGAGGGAGGGAGGGCGGGAGGGAGGGAGGAAGGGAGGGAGGGACTTGGGAACTGAGTTTCAACAGTGAGCCAGTTCTATTCATGGGTTTTCTCACTGGCTCCTCTTACTGCACGGGGGAAGTACTACAGTTGGCCCCATAGTCCAGGAAACCAGGCTCAGGGGAGTGAGGCCTGCAAGATCTCACAGCAACCTAGAAGCAAATGCAGGTTTCAGGAACAGCTAGTTCTAGCCTCTGCATGTTCCCTGATACTCAAGGCAGCCTGCGTGTGGAAATCATAAGTCTCTCAGGGGGAACGTGGGTGAGGACCTTGTCTGGCTTCAGCAGTAATGGCTGCCTTGCAGAAGAGCAGCTCAGACCCCCTGAAGCCTTACAGAAGCCCCTTAGGCTCCCTGCAGTTCCTGGGCCTAGGCTCAGTTTCCAGAAAGGGGGAGCCCCTCGAGGTAATCAAGTGACAAGAGCTTGGGGGGGCCACACACAGATGTGGAAAAACCAGTGGGGTGGGGTAAGAAGTTAGAAAGTAGAGGGGGCGGTGTTGGCACAGTGGAAACAGCCTGTTTCTGGGAGCGGGGAGCTGGGTCCCATTGACTCACTGGGTGGGGGGTGCTTGGATGAGTCTGCCTACCTGGGGTGGGAGGGCTCAGTTTCCATTTCTAGAAAAGGGGGGTCTTCCTGCCGTGTTGTTTTCTGCTCTGTCTCACATTGTGGGATCCAGACTCCTCCAAAGTCCCCTGAGCAGATGTCGCCTCCACCGCTGACCCTGACACCCAGGGCCAGGCTGGGCCAGCTGACTTGGTCACTGTGCTGCTAGAGTACAGTAGCCTTCCCCCTACACATTGGTGCTGGTCCCCTGCCCGGCTTACTCATAACAGAGCCCTGTTGCGTCACGGAGATTCCACCAAGGAAACCAGTGTGTGCCAAACCCTCAACCAGCAGGGCTCCTCCAACCAAGGTGCCATCCCCATTTTACAGGAATACAAACTGAGTCCCAGGGAAGGGAAGTGGAAGGCCCCAGTGCTTAGCAGTTTCAGGACCTGAAAGTATCTCCAGAGCCCTTCAGCTACCACCACCAGCCGGAACTCAAATTCCCTCTGACCTCAGCAGTACGGAAGACCATACCCAAGCTTCAGACAGAGCCCTTCTTTCTGAAAAAAGATCCAGGTTAACTGAGAGACAGAAAAGTTCAGGGCCTTAATAAGCCTCTTCTCCCTAAGTGTTAGACCTGAGTCAAGGTTGGTACTGGGGCCTGGAACCCTGGCTCAGACTTTCTGGGTGCCCAGGCTGAAGAGCACCTGTCTGAGGTCTGTAGAAAGTTTAAAGGACAGTGAAGGCCGTTATGGTGTCCTGACTGAGGCCTGGGTAGGAGAGCTGAAGGTGGAAGTTCTAAGCTCGCTCTAGAAGGCTGTGAGGGAGATCTTGGTTTGTCTTCATGGCCTTGGCCTCTGTGGTGTGGCCCGTGAACTGGGAGGGAAGACTTCTTGAGGGAAATAGGAAAAGCCACTCTCCCTTTGCCCCTCACCTGACAGGTTTCTGAGCTAACAGAAGCAGAGTGGGGGATCTTCCTTGTCTTTTGAGCCTTTTTAAGCTTTGACACACTTGACAGAGGGCCTATCCTACGCAAAGATCCTGAGTCGGGAAGCTCAGGGTGTCTGCCTGCAACACCTCAAGGACATCCAAAGGCCCTGGATCAGTGAGCTCAGGCCTCAGGCTCCGGCAGGGAGGAAGGGCGGTCCTAGGTCCCAGCAGGGCCATGCCACAGCTTTCCCAAGCAAGCCCTTTCTTGGTGGGCAGGCCACAGCAGCTGTACTTCATGTGTTTCCAATTTGTACATAAATCCCAACTCCCATAAAACCCCCTGAAGTGCCACCCAGCCACATATGTGGACGCCTCTGCCTGGCAGTGTGGTGACGGGCATGGCAGAGTGTCAGCCGCAGCCCAGGGCAGTGACAGCCATGGGGAGGGGTCCTCTACCCTCTAGGGAAACCAAGCTTTGGCTCCTGGGGAAGAGTCAGCCAGACCAGCACTGCCTTTCATTATGATGGGGTCTCCTGGGCCACTGCAAACCACAGCCCGCTGCCCACTCAGCAGCTTCCTGGGTTCCACAACGAGGCCAGATCCTCAAACAGAAACCCTACCCTTTCTCTCTCTTTTTATTCTTTTCCTTTCAACCTCCAAAGGAGGAGGGGGGCTGTAGCCACAAGATCTTCTAAGGGGCCATGACATCACAGCCCAGGTGACAGTGGCCTAGCCAATGGACCTAGGCCCAGAGCTGGCTTCTTGCATCCTGTGATGTGAGGTTGGGTTGACACTGGGAAGGTCTAGTCCCTCAACCACAGAACCACAAGGCCAGGCCCTCGCCGCCTCCAGGGCCCTGCGAGGAGCTGGTTGGCTCCTGATGTCCCCACCCCCTGGCCACCCTGGCCCCCGCCACAGTCTGGGCTCCGTAGAGGGTGAGCTTCGTTCATTCATTCATTCATCTCGGCTGCTGAGTCTGGTCTCTCTGCTGCAGCCCCGGGCTCCTCCGCCCTGGCTGCCCAGAGCCCCTTCCCACCATTTAATGATACTCTGCACAGAGTGCTGTTGAAAATTTGTGGCTAGACATTCCTGTGGGACTGGGAAGCCAAATTCTTGGGTACAAACCGAAACTTTCTTTCCTTAGAGATTTTCTTCTCTCTCGCCCACAGACACTCTCGCGTTCTTTCCTCATTTTTTTCTTTCTTTCTTTCTTTTTTTTTCTTTTTAGTAGCAGCAGGGGGAGGAAAAAAGAAACCAAACATTAAAAAAAAAAAAGCAACACCTCCCCTTTTTTTATTTTCGAAAGCAACTTGAAAAAAAATATAACAAAACAGCAGCCAACCAAGTGGGTCCGAACCCAACCCCCTGAGGCCGAGTCCTTGCCTCTGTCCATCCGTGTAGGATATGGCCTCCAACAGCATCTTCGACTCCTTCCCCAACTATACACCAACCTTCATACGAGGTGAGTACTGATGGCGGGGCTCTGCTTGGCTCTCCCCAGTGAAAAGCTGTAATGTTCTCAGACCATGACCCTCTAATCCGCTGCTCTGGTCACCTCAGTGACTAGCCTCTGAGAACGCAAGTGGGGAGAGGGATTGGTGGCCTCCGTGGTCTCCTGGTATGAGCGTCGTGGTGTGATTTGATTCTCGGCTGGCCGAGCGTGTGACCACCTATAGACCTCAGAGGGTTCTGGGATGGAGAAAGCAAGGCAAGTGTGTGGCCCTCCGGTTCCTGCCTCCCACACTGGTCACCGGGATGATCTGCCCCGGCCAGGGCTCAAACAGACAGAGGTCAGATGTATCTGGGAGGACCACGGGAGGCAAGCAGGGATGCATCCTGCCCTAAAGATCCTGAGGAGTATCCCAGCATTCTCTGTGCACTCCCAGGGCAGTGGGCACAAAAGGTGGAGAAAGAACCCACGGGCCTCTTTGGAAATCTGCTCAACACGGGCAGATAACTGTGGGAGACCCTGTTCCTGAAGTATTGGCCACAGAGGAAGGTGTTTGGGGGTGGCTTTTGTCTCTATTCATGGCACAGAAGGATCTAGAATTCTGGGATATGCCCCTCAGGAAGGATGGGGCCAAGATGTCTGGTGAGGAACCTCTGATTTAGGCTGAACCCCAGAGAGACCTGCCCTGCCTGTGGCCTGTGAGGTACGCTGACTTCTCATACCTTAGCCACTTTCCTATTCCTTAGCAGGAACCCACAGGGTTGTCACCTGAGATCAGGGGACCCTGGTCCCCAAGCTTCAGCCACGCAGCTGTGCCGACCTCGACAAATAACCTGATACAGGTCACTAATGTCTCTGCCTCCGAAGCGTTCCCTCTAGCTGTGGTGTTCTGTTGTCTAAGCTGTGCAGGGAGGGCATTACTTTGAGCTGTTCTAAGGGACTAGCTCCTCTGGAAAATATTCTAGAGTTCTAGGGTTGGGAGACAGCGCCTTTTTTGAATTGAAGTGGTCAGATAAGATCTGGATGTCTGCCGTGGCCAGCTGTGACTACGCCAGTGCTCAGCACTTGGTTCTAAAGGGTTCTGGTCTGTGTGGCAAGAACGTGTCTAAGAAGAAGGCACATCACTTTCCTGATGACCTTGGAAGCCTGAGGCAGGTTGTGCGCTTAGATCGTGGTTGAGTCTCGGGAGAAGGAATGCTCCCTCCAAACCTGGCTGTGACTGGTGATGAACGGGTGCTGTAACTTCCAGCCACTGCTCTTGTACTATGTACGCACCCTTTGTAGTCTTCGGTATTAGTTCAAAGTGATTGCTCGGCAAGAAAATAAGAGTTTATAAAAACCACTTGCCTTACATGAACAAGATGGAGAAGTTGAACTTTAAACAAAGGAACCATAGAAGACAGGGCTTGCTAGTGCCGGCTGCCTTAGATGGGAGTCCTGACCCAAAGCCCCGGAGGTGGCAGCTGGAGTCAAGAGGACAAAGAAGGGACCATAGCAGCTCTGGCCCAAGAAGAAAGAGGTCACTTAGCAGAGAGGCTGGTCCCTGGTCAGCAGGTGGAAGGTATCTGGGAGGCTGAAGTCACTGGGCAGCCTGGAGATCCCAAAGAGATATCCTGCCCTTGTCTCGTATCTCTCTCCTTGCTCGGTTTTCCCCACAGAACCCCCCACAGCTGCAGCCTCAGGACCCCCTGTAGCCACACACCATCCTGGACTCTCAGGAAACCCATAACGCCTCAAATTGCACTATTAAAGACAAAACATATTCAAAAGGATTTTGGAGGGCACCAGAGCTAAGAGAACAGTTTCCAGTATATTAAGGCCAGCTTGTGAATTGTGACCTCGGGCCTCTCTGGAAACACCTGAGTGACAGTGGCCCTCCCTGTGGATCGGAAATCTAGTGTAACTCAGGGTGGGGGAGTGCTGACGGATAGATATAAAGGGTCATCTGCCATGACCCTCCTGAGACCGAACAAAACCTGTGGTTTCCGTTAGTGACACCATCATGGTGGAAAACAGATGCTAAATGTTTCAAGGTTCCTGACGGAGGGGAAATTGTCATTATTTCCAGCCGGGGTCATGGACCCCCAGATTTCTGCTCAGGTCATGAACCCCAGCACCACTGGGCTCACACACGCTGGCTCTCAGGGTCTGCTACCACCTGTGGGGGCGTTGCAGTAAGGATTCCCTGTGTCTCTCCCACTGCCTCTCCACTTCCCCGTCCTGCCTCCTCCAAACGCAGACCCCGCTCACTACCTCGGCAAAGCCCTCAGCCCCACTCTCAGAGAGCCTAAAAACCCATGTTCCAGCTTCCTGTCTCAGACTGTGGAATCAGCGTGTGTTGGATTTGGGTCTCGAAATTCACCCACTCCGACTCCCAATGCCCATGTGCTGTGTGACTCCAAGCAAGACCTTTGATGTCTCTGAGTGCCGCTCTTTTATGGTAATAGAGGACATGTGAGTTAGAGTTGGGGCTCTAAGGACAGTCTGACTCCAACCCCTGTGTGTCCTTTCCCTGATGCATGGTGGGTCCCCTGCACTGTCAGGGAGCCCTGAGGCCCCCAAACTAGAAGAGAATAACCTCATCTCTGTTTTCTCTGGTATCCGTCTCTCCATGCCCCCCATCAATGCCCAACTGACATGTGAGGCCTCTGGAAGCAACAGGAGACAGACAACTGGGCCTTCTCACAGTCAGGGTTTGCATGGAACCTTCCAGAAGCTGCTGAGGCCCCTTCATGTTTTCTCAATCCTGCCCTCAAATCAGGCCCTTCACTGGGCCCAGGATACCCCATGGTTTTGGGGGCTTTTTGTTTGTTTGTTTTGTTTTTTGTTTTATTTTGTTTTTTTGAGGAAAGGACCCGACCCTGCAAGAGAGGCCAAGGAGTTAATGGTGCGACCAAGTGACCATCTTAAGCTCTGTTGGGGGCCAGCAACCCAAGGCCCTTCTTAGCATTAAGTCGGTTCTAAGCTGCAGGTACCCAGCTCATTCACAGGCAGAGTCTCTCTCCCAAACACACAGATGGCAAGAGAGGCCTTTGGGGTGGGGACTGGGATCTGAAGAAGTGTAGAGCACTACTTGCATGCACATGTAGGGGAACCCTGTACAGAGACAGCTTTGGCTTGCTAATTCAGTCGTTCCACAAAAGCTTGCCAAGCGTAGGCTCTGGGGCTGGACTTTCTAATTGAAGCCTATATGCTATCTCTCCTAGCTCACATAGGGAGATCCCTTCACCACCCTGTACCTCAGTTTCCCTTTCTGCTGGGGATGGTGGCATCATCAATCTTCTGGGGCTATGGACAAAACCAGATGAGCAGAGGGCCCCACTCAGAGGCTGGGGTCTATGGGCAGCTCAGACATCAGGGAGAAACGGGAACCGGACTCTCAGGCATGGGCATTCCTGTGTGGTAACTGGGTGCTGACAAAATGGGTCGGGTCATGTCTAGTCTAAGTTGCCGGACTTGGAAGCCACCAGATAGGGATGAAGCCAGACAGAGGTCTATGTCCTTGCTGAACCTTTAGCCTGCAGTTTGCAACATATCTCAAAGCCCAAGGAATCCCCCAGTGACAGCCCACCCTGGTGGCTCGTCACCCTGAGCATTTGACCCCATGGCCTTCTCCTTTACTGAGCTTGGCGGGAGATGACTGACCGCCGGTCTTTCCTCACCCACCATGGCGCCATGTCTACCAGGCCTCTTTGATGGAGGCTCCTAAAGTAAACCATCTCCTCAAACCACCCTGTCTGTCTCACCCCACCCCCCAGGCTGCAAAGAAGTTCCCAGTAGCCCCTCACTGCCCACAGGGTCTGGGTGTGTGTGAGCTGGCCCCACACAGTGGGACTGTGTGTCCAGGCCCCATCCACACCCACTACGGCCAACCGGCGGCCCCTGGCGGCCCTGCAGGTCAGATAGTGGACCTATTGATGGCAGGGCCTTGAGGTGCCCACATCAAAGCTGAGGAGGCTTGCTTGGTTACCTGAAGGGGAGGGGCCTGAAAACATGACCTTCCAGAAGACTCTGTGGGACAACAAGAGTAATGACTGAGAAGAAAGTCTAGCATCTAGCAGGCCTTCTGAGAGGTGGGGAGACAACCCTGAACTTGGGGTTCAGAAGAGCATCCGGGCCACCAGCTCTTAACCCCAACTCCTAGGAACCTGCCATTGGTTCTCTTTTTACATTTTTTAAAATTAAATTTTTTTAAAAAAATCGACAGATGCATAGATTATATTTGGAGCATTTTCCTCCGCATCCTCCCTCCCTCTCCCCGCGTACCCCTCCCCCTCCGCTTGGTCCTCTGGCCCCCTGGACAGTTTCACTTCTACTTTCTTGCCATATATGCATACATCACTCTAGGTATCTGTATAAAATCTAGGACCCACAAAGGAGAGAAAGCATACTATTTAAATTTCTGAAGCTGACTTATTTTGCTGAGTGTGATTGTCTGCGGCTGCTCCATTTTCTTGCATGGGATGGGTTCGCATTCTTAAGGATTAAAAAATTCATTTTATAGATACATACACACACACTCACACACGGATGCGCATATACACTTTCTTGGTTACCTGCTGGGGATGGTGGCATCATCAATCTTCTGGGGCTATGGACAAAACCAGATGAGCAGAGGGCCCCGCTCAGAGGCTGGGGTCTATGGGCAGCTCAGACATCAGGGAGAAACGGGAACCGGACTCTCAGGCAGCAGCAATCCTCTATTGCTGCCCTGGGATTCCTTTGACTGACCGACCACTCAGGAGTAGTATAACTGGATTGTGTGGAAATTCTATTTGTAGGGTTGCTTGTTTATTTGTTGTTGGAGATGGGGTCTCATTATGCAGTCATGGCTGCCCTGGAACTTGTTATGAAGACAAGGCTGGCTTCAAACTAAAGATATCTGCCTGCTTCTGTCTCCAAAATCCTGAGAGTTCTTTGTGCATCTTTGTCAAAAAATCCCACAGCTATAGCTGCATGGGCCACACGTACCCCTCTATTCTAACTGATGGATGTACGTGTCTGGTTTTGTG